ACTACTACTAACTACTACTAACTACTACTAACTACTACTAACTACTACTAACTACTACTAACTACTACTAACTACTACTACCTACTACTACCTACTACTAACTACTACTACCTACTAGCTACCACTAGCTACCATACTACTAGCTACTACTAACTACTACTAACTAATTACTACTAACTACTACTAACTACTACTAACTACTACTAACTACTACTAACTACTACTAACTACTACTAACTACTACTAACTACTACTAACTACTACTAACTACTACTAACTACTACTAACTACTACTAACTACTACTAACTACTACTAAGTACTACTAAGTACTACTAAGTACTACTAAGTACTACTAAGTACTACTAACTACTACTAACTACTACCTACTACTACCACTACTACCACTACTACCACTACTACCACTACTACGACTACTACGACTACTACGACTACTAACTACTACTAACTACTACTAACTACTACTAACTACTACTAACTACTACTAACTACTACTAACTACTATAACTACTACTAACTACTACTAACTACTACTAACTACTACTAACTACTACTAACTACTACTACTACTACTACTAACTACTACTACTACTACTACTAACTACTACTACTACTAACTACTACTACTTACTACTAACTACTACTAATTACTACTAACTACTACTACTACTACTACTACTACTACTACTACTACTGCTAACTACTCTAACTACTGCTAACTACTGCTAACTACTGCTAACTACTGCTAACTACTGCTAACTACTGCTAACTACTGCTACTACTACTACTATCTACTACTTACTACTACTTACTACTACTTCTACTAACTACTACTACTACTACTGCTAACTACTACTACTAACTGCTACTACTAACTACTACTACTAACTACTACTACTAACTACTACTACTAACTACTACTACTACTACTACTAACTACTACTAACTACTACTAACTACTACTAACTACTACTAACTACTACTAACTACTACTAACTATTACTAACTACTACTAACTACTACTAACTACTACTAACTACTACTAACTACTACTAACTACTACTAACTACTACTAACTACTACTAACTACTACTAACTACTACTAACTACTACTAACTACTACTAACTACTACTAACTACTACTAACTACTACTAAATACTACTAACTACTACTAACTACTACTAACTACTACTAACTACTACTAACTACTACTAACTACTACTAACTACGACTAACTACTACTAACTACTACTAACTACTACTAACTACTACTAACTACTACTAACTACTACTAACTACTACTAACTACTACTAACTACTACTAACTACTACTAACTACTACTAACTACTACTAACTACTACTAACTACTACTATCTACTACTAACTACTACTAACTACTACTACTACTAACTACTACTTTTACTACATACTACACCTACTTACTACTACTACAAACTACTACGTACTACTACATACTACTTACTACTACTACTTACTACGTACTACTACATACTACTACGTACTACTACATACTACTACATACTACTACATACTACTACATACTACATACTACATACTACATACTACATACTACATACTACATACTACATACATCCCTGTGTGCATTCTGCAGGGTAGTTGTGCCCACTCAACCGTCTACAAACACGGCCTTATACTACAAAATGCTGCTTGAATCTGGACCAACCCCCCTTGCTACAAAATGCTTTGGGGGTTTTGATGGTGGATCAAAAGCCAATGTGGGTCACTACAAAATGCATTTGCGTAACCATTTTGTAGTGAAAAACGGGTTGCAGTAAAAAAAATCATGCTTCTCTACTAAATGGCTTCTGGAAATTTCACTCTAAATCCTTGGTTCACTTTCGGCCCAGGTCATAGCATTTGCCGAGCACAAGTAAATACAACCTTGGGATTTCCATCGGATTCCAAGAATTGACCTTTCAAGAGGTTTTCTACTACAATGCTCAGAGCTATGGGGCAACAAAAACGATCTAAGCGTACAACTTCAAATTCAATTGATCGGTTTTGAAACCAAATCTGTCCCATTTTCCCTCCTTAAAGTCTCTACCAAAAAAAATGTTTTTCGAACTTTTTGGGGCTTACCTGAAGGGGGACGCAGTAGGTTCTACAAAAGGTTGTGCACGCGTGTGTCACTACAAAATGCAGCGCATGAAAAAAAGTCATCCAGAAACTAGGACATCACGCATCGAATCTGTGCTTTGTGGGTGAAAGGAACTCTGAGCATGGATTCTTTGAACTTGGGTGAAACTTGACTATTGGACAAAAAGAGCAGGAACCTAGTAGAATGGGATACGTTTAGATTTTGATTGGTAATCGCATGTAATGGCCAAAATAGGTGTGACAAAAGCACGGCGCAGAGATTTTGAATTGCAATCGTCAGAGCTAGGGGGCAGCAACAACGATCTAAGCGCACAACTTCAAATTCAATTAATTGGTTTTGAAACCAAATCTGTCAAAATTTTCCCTCCTTAAAGTCTACAAAAAAATGTTTTTCGAACTTTTTGGGGCTTATCTGAAGGGGGACGCAGTAGGTTCTACAAAAGGTTGTGCACGCGTGCGTCACTACAAAATGCAGTGGATGACAAAAGTCATCCAGAAACTAGGACATCACGCATCAAATCTGTGCTTTGTGGGTGAAAGATACTCTGAACATGGATTCTTTAAACTTAGGTGAAACTTGACCATTGGACAAAAAGAGCAGGAACCTAGTAGAATGGAATATCTCTAGATTATGATTGGTAATCGCATGTAATGGCCAAAAATAGGTGTGACAAAAGCACGGTGCAGAGATTTTGAACTGCAATCGTCAGAGCTATGGGGCAACAAAAACGATCTAAGCGCACATCTTCAAATTCAATTGATCGGTTTTGAAACCAAATCTGTCCAATTTTTTCTTCTTAAAGCCTCTACATAAAAAGCATGTTTTTCGAACTTTTTGGGGCTTATCTGGAGGTTCTACAAAAGGATGTGCACGCATGTGTCACTACAAGCAGTGGATGACAAAAGTCATCCAGAAACTAGGACATCACGCATCAAATCTGTGCTTTGTGGGTGAAAGATACTCTGAACATGGATTCTTTAAACTTAGGTGAAACTTGACCATTGGACAAACAGAGCAGGAACCTAGTAGAATGGAATATCTTTAGATTATGATTGGTAATCGCATGTAGTGGCCAAAACAGGTGTGACAAAAGCACGGCGCAGAGATTTTGAACTGCAATCGTCATAGCTAGGGGGGCAGCAACAACGATCCAAGCGCACACAACAAATTCAATTAATGGGTTTTGAACCAAATCTGTCAAAATTTTCCTCCTTAAGCCTCTGCATAAAAAGCATGTTTTTCGAACTTTTTGGGACTTGTCTGGAGGGGAACGCAGTGGGTTCTACAAAAGGATGTGCACGCATGTGTCACTACAAATTGCAGTGGATGACAAAAGTCATCCAGAAACTAGGACATCACGCATCGAATCTGTGCTTTGTGGGTGAAAGAAACTCTGAGCATGGATTCTTTGAACTTAGGTGACACTTGACTATTGGACAAAAAGAGCAGGAACCTAGTAGAATGGGATACGTTTAGATTATGATTGGTAATCGCATGTAATGGCCAAAAAAGGTGTGACAAAAGCACGGCGCAGAGATTTTGAACTGCAATCGTCAGAGCTATGGGGCAGCAACAACGATCTAAGCGCACAACTTCAAATTCAATTGATCGGTTTTGAAACCAAATCTGTCCCATTTTCCCTCCTTAAAGTCTACAAAAAAATGTTTTTCGAACTTTTTGGGGCTTATCTGAAGGGGGACGCAGTAGGTTCTACAAAAGGTTGTGCACGCGTGTGTCACTACAAAATGCAGCGCATGAAAAAAAGTCATCCAGAAACTAGGACATCACGCATCGAATCTGTGCTTTGTGGGTGAAAGAAACTCTGAGCATGGATTCTTTGAACTTAGGTGACACTTGACTATTGGACAAAAAGAGCAGGAACCTAGTAGAATGGGATACGTTTAGATTTTGATTGGTAATCGCATGTAATGGCCAAAATAGGTGTGACAAAAGCACGGCGCAGAGATTTTGAATTGCAATCGTCAGAGCTAGGGGGCAGCAACAACGATCTAAGCGCACAACTTCAAATTCAATTAATTGGTTTTGAAACCAAATCTGTCAAAATTTTCCCTCCTTAAAGTCTACAAAAAAATGTTTTTCGAACTTTTTGGGGCTTATCTGAAGGGGGACGCAGTAGGTTCTACAAAAGGTTGTGCACGCGTGCGTCACTACAAAATGCAGTGGATGACAAAAGTCATCCAGAAACTAGGACATCACGCATCAAATCTGTGCTTTGTGGGTGAAAGATACTCTGAACATGGATTCTTTAAACTTAGGTGAAACTTGACCATTGGACAAAAAGAGCAGGAACCTAGTAGAATGGAATATCTCTAGATTATGATTGGTAATCGCATGTAATGGCCAAAAATAGGTGTGACAAAAGCACGGTGCAGAGATTTTGAACTGCAATCGTCAGAGCTATGGGGCAACAAAAACGATCTAAGCGCGCAACTTCAAATTCAATTGATCGGTTTTGAAACCAAATCTGTCCCATTTTTCATTTTTAAATTCTCTACATAAAAAGCCTGTTTTGCGAACTTTTTGGGGCTTATCTGGAGGGGGACGCAGTAGGTTCTACAAAAGGTTGTGCACGCGTGTGTCACTACAAAATGCAGTGCATGACAAAAGTCATCCAGAAACTAGGACATCACGCATCGAATCTGTGCTTTGTGGGTGAAAGAAACTCTGAACATGAATTCTTTGAACTGAGGTGAAACTTGACTATTGGACAAAAAGAGCAGGAACCTAGTAGAATGGGATACGTTTAGATTATGATTCGTAATCGCATGTAATGGCCAAAAGTAGGTGTGACAAAAGCACGGCGCAGAGATTTTGAACTGCAATCGTCAGAGCTATGGGGCAGCAACAACGATCTAAGCGCACAACTTCAAATTCAATTGATCGGTTTTGAAACCAAATCTGTCCCATTTTCCCTCCTTAGAGTCTCTACATAAAAAGAATGTTTTGCGAACTTTTTGGGGCTTATCTGGAGGAGGACGCACTAGGTTCGACAAAAGGTTGTGCATGCGTGTGTCACTACAAAATGCAGTGCATGGCAAAAGTCATCCAGAAACTAGGACATCACGCATCGAATCTGTGCTTTGTGGGTGAAAGAAACTCTGAACATGGAATCTTTGAACTTAGGTGACACTTGACTATTGGACAAAAAGAGCAGGAACCTAGTAGAATGGGATACGTTTAGACTATGATTGGTACCTAATGGTCGGTTTGAACTTGTGCTACTTGCATCAAGTTGTAAGCAAGGTTAACTTGAGTTTAAGTAATGTAAGTGGATGCCAAGTAGGCAATAAGTAGGTTATTTGTAAGAGCCTACTTGTAGTTACTTGAAGTCACTTGAAGTAACTTGTTTCTACTTGAGCTACTTGTGAAGTAGGAATTAAGTAGATGGAAGCTGTTGGTGTTTAAGTTGTCTAAGTTAGTTGTTCTGAGCTAGTCCTACTTGTGTTCTACTTATTTCTATTTAACCTAGTTATGCTTTTTATTTGTTCTTAAGGTTTTTTCAATCGGTAGGAAGTTTGGCTTTGTTTTCTTAGTTTTGATTGAACGCTTTTTTTGATGGAAAGTCAAGTTTTTCGTTGGTTATGTGTCAATGTTTTCGAAATGTGGGTATGGTTGAGCGGTGCGTCCGCTTTTTTCGTTTTTGAAAGACCCGTTGGAGCATTACATGCAGAACTGGCCGTTGAAGGTGAGCAGCGGCGTGTTGCTGTCTGCAGCGCACGTATCTGTTCATCATTTCTCCTCTTGCTGCGTGTCTCTTGCTCAAAACCTCCGTGAGCTCTGCTCCTTTTTTCTTTGCGCTATTTCCGCTATCTCTGCCTGTGCTTGCATATTGCCTTGCGCATCGGTGGTCTGTGCTATCTCTGTGATATCTCTGTGCTATCTATGCGACCTTGTGCTGGGGACTGGTTTTGGCTCTGTGCTATCTCTCTGCTGTCTCTGTGCTATCTATGCTATCTCATGCTATATCTGTGCTATCTCTGTGCTATCTCTCTGATATTTCTTTGAAATCTTTGTTTATACTCCTTGTTATCTCTTTCTAAAGCTTGACATCAGGAACTCGCAGTTCCAAATTTGATGGTGCCCTGAAGCGTTGGACCTAAGTATGTTTTGTCTTTTTGGTGGTCATGGGGTGATTCGTGGTCTGTGCACAGGCTTGGGCTTAGCAACTGTATGGCGGTGTGATCGCTCGAAGGCATCGATAAAAAAAAGCTTCATTTCCTTCTTGAGCGTCGAGCGCGGCAAACTCCAAAACAAGTTTTTCTGCTTATTCAGCACGCCCATGCTGCCTCACAAAAAATACGAAAAAAAATCTCGAAAACTAAAATTTAACCTCTCCAAAACCTAAGTTCGGATTTCCTTCTCACCTTTTTGCAAAAACAAAAAGTTTCAACTATGTTCTACTTATTTCTACTTATATCCACTTATGTTTACTTATAAGTAACTTGTGACCAACTTAAAAATACTTAAGTTTAGTATTAGTTTTAAATTGCAACATAAGTAGGGTATTCAAACCGACCTATAGGTAATCGCATGTAATGGCCAAAACAGCTGTGACAAAAGCACGGCGCAGAGAGTGCAATCGTCAAAGCTATGGGGCAACAAAAACGATCTAAGCGCACCACTTCAAATTCAAGTGATCGGTTTTGAAACCAAATCTGTCCCATTTTTCATTTTTAAATTCTCTACATAAAAAGCATGTTTTGCGAACTTTTTGGGCTTATCTGGAGGGGGACGCAGTAGGTTCTACAACAGGTTGTGCACGCGTGTGTCAGATTTTGAACTGCAATCGTCAGAGCTATGGGCAACAAAAACGATCTAAGCGCGCAACTTCAAATTCAATTGATTGGTTTTGAAACCAAATCTGTCCCATTTTTCCTTCTTAAAGTCTCTACATTGTTTTTTTGATTTTTTTTCGGCTCATCTTACCACGAAGTGATCCTGAATCAAGAGCGAAAAATGGTCTGAGGGTCCAAGCCATTTGTTAATGTGACCCAGCATGACTGGCAAAAGAGGGCTATACGGTTTTCTGTAGGACCCAACGCATCCCAAAATAAATCATTACAAATTAGATTATTAGATAATTTGGAGAGTAATGCTCTATTGGCCATTTTGGAAGCAGGACTATAAGCAGCCAATTGATAGGTACGGGACGGTTGGTACGGGTTGGGGTGCGGGTACGGGTGCGGGTACGGTACAGGTACGGTACGGGTACGGTATGGCTACGATACATGGGGACGGTCGGTACAATACATGGGTACGAAAACCGTACCCATGTACCGTACCGACCGTACCCATGTATCGCACCCGTACCGTATACCTGTACCGTACCTGCACCCGTACCCGCACCCAAACCCGTACCAACCGTCCCGTACCCATCTAAACTCCTCAGCAAGAACCCCTCCGCACCATACGTCATGAGCCCAATAGAAAACAGGGTTTTCATTGCTCTTGAAATTAGCTAAATTACAAAATGCATTTGGGATTTTCAAGTGCTAAATGAAAGGCCGCTACAAGATGCAGCGCACTCCCTCTTACTAGAAAAACCCGTGCACGACTCCATTCTTTTGCATGAATTCTCCACGAAACAGGGGATGGTATCAAGCACGTGCTCACCCTTTTAGTAGTGGGAATGGTAAGGGGGATCTACATACTATAGACTAATCCCCCTGTAGTGTTCCCGGGGGGGGTTGGAGACCCTGAACCAAAATAATTTTTAAAATAAAAACATAGGTACCCAACCATGTTGGGAAAACAGGGAAAAGACACATAATTATACATGAATTCCTCCATCCTGACTGAAAATTATTTTGCAAAATCTGCAAAATAAAAATAAAATCAAATCAAGTTGGGTACCCAAGGGTGCCAGGAAAATAAAATGCCAGGTGCCCAAGGTGAGCCATGTTGTCCCAAGGACTTCCAAGCCCCAAAAATAAAATAATTCTGGGGTACCCAAGGTCTCCACGTTCTCCCTTTGCATCCTTCATTTTTTGCAGCGCCTTTCATCTTGATCATTTTGATCATATCGAAGCACTCTGCGCACTTGCAATCAAAATACCAAAGCATCAAAATACCAAAAGCCATTATCATCATTATCCAACAAGTCTTGTTCACAAAATGCAGATTGTTGTGAAAAAAATATAAATATGACTTTTTCTCATTTGTTCATTTTTGGTTTTCCATTTTGTTTCCTGTTCCCTGCGGTTCCCTGTTGTAGTGACATTGTGTTTTCTCATTTTCACATTTTTTCTTTCTGTTATCATATGTTATCATATTTTAGTAAAGTTTTTTCTGGTTTCCCCATTATAAAAGTGACATTTCTCATTTTGCATCATTTCCCCGTTGCTGTTCTCCCCGTTGTGCCTTACCCGTTGTGTCCGTTGGTCCCCGAGATCCGAGCCGGGGAATCTCGGGGACCCACCAGAGGCGCATTGGGGAGACAGCTCACGGCAAAGCACAACGGACACAACGGGTAAGGCACAACGGGGAGAACAGCAACGGGGAAATGATGCAAAATGAGAAATGTCACTTTCATGGTTTGTAAACAAATAAACTTAAATCATGTAAAATACACGTTTTCTTCATAGTTCTTATATAAAGATCTACATGTTGTGATGTTTAGGGTGGGTTATGTATCATTGTATTTGTGTATATACATATATATATATATATATGCGTCTGTGTTTTATTTATTTATTACTTGTATTATCTATTTGTTCATTTATTTATATATATATATATATATTATATATATATACATTATACTATATGAAGAATTGCTCACAATGTGCTATTTTTTGGTGCCCAAAATGAACAAAACACCTGGCTCAAAATAAAATCATAGGTACCCTACCTGCTTAGCTGCATTTGTCCCCAATGGGGGTCGGAGACCAGTATATCCAAAATAAAATTATAGGTACCCAACTTACTTATCCCCAAATGAGGCTAACCAAGCTGGGAACTTCAGGTACCCAACCCCATTTTATTTTGGGAAAAAAAGCCAAAATAAAATAGAAATGGACTCTGTGGGAGCCTCTTGGAGGATCCCAAGAACCCAAGATTTATTTTGGAGCACCGCAGCGGGTTTATACTACAACTAACTACTAACTACTAACTATAGATTAACTACTAACTACTAACTACTACCTACTAACTACAGACTGCAGACTAGACTACACACTACATGCTACATACTACATGCTACATACTACATACTACATACTACACACTACATACTACATACTACATACTACATACTACATACCAGTAGTACCGCACAAGGCGGTGGCGGAAGTTTCAAAAATAGGAAACCTATAGGAGAGGCTGGTTGTTGTGAATCACAGATGGCAGAGCGAATCCACTGATGGACCGAAAGGTGGTTGAGGTCTCTCTCTCTCTCTCTTTCTCTCTCTTTCTCTGACTACCTATCTATCTAGCTATTTATCTATCTATCTATCTATCTATCTAGCTATGTATCTAGCTAGCTATCTATCTATCTGTCTATCTGTCTACCTGTCTATCTGTCTAGTCTTGTCTAATCTGTTATCTTGTCGATCTACCTATTCAATCTATCTATCATCTATCTATCTATCTATCTATCTTATCTCTCTCGCCCTTTCATCTGTCTATCTGTCTAGCTGTCTACCTGCTATCTGTCTATCATCTATCGATTCTATCTGTCTACTTGCTATCTGTGGTGCGTGTCATTTCCGTGTAATGTAGGGTAGTGTAAGTGTAGTGTGGCGTGTCGTGGAGTGTGGAGGGATGTAGGGAAGTTTATGGAGGGGAATGTAGTGCAGTGTAGTGTAATGTAGTGTAGTGGAGTGTGGCGGAATGTAGTGTAGTGTAGTGTAATGTAGCGTAGTGTCGTGTAATTTAGTGTAGTGGAGTGTAGTGGAGTCTAGTTGTGTAGTTGTAGTTGTAGTTGTAGTGTAATGGAGTGTAGTGTAGTGTAAGGTAGTGACGTGTAGTGGAAGATAGTGTAGTATAGTGTAATGTAGTGTAGTGGAGTGTAGTGTAGTGTAGTGTAATGTGATGTAGTGTAGTGTAGTGTAATGTAGTGTGGTGTAATGTAATTTAGTCTAGTGGAGTGTACTGGGGTGTAGTGTAATGTAGTGTAGTGGAGTGTAGTGTAGTGTAATGTCCTGTAGTGTAGTGTAGCGGAGTGTAGTGTAGCGTAATGCAGTGTAGTGAAGCGAAGCGACATCTGAACTTCCAAAAGTGGCGCGAACATGTGGTGTTTTGTACATTTTCACTTCGAAATGTGCTTCGCGCCACAACGGCGTGCGCTTTTTCAACATCCGAACCTCCAAAAGTGGCGCGAACATGTGGTGTTTTGTACATGTTGACTTCGAAATGTGCTTCGCGCCACAACGGCGTGCACTTTTTCGACATCTCAACTTCCAAAAGTGGTCCGACAATGGTGTGCTTTGTACGTTTTAAATTCGAAATGTGCTTCGCGCCACAACGGCGTGCACTTTTTCGACATCTCAACTTCCAAAAGTGGTCCGACAATGTTGTGTTTTGTACATTTTGACTTCGAAATGTGCTTCGCGCCACAACGGCGTGCACTTTTTCGACATCTCAACTTCCAAAAGTGGTCCGAAGCTGGTGTGTTTTGTACATTTTGACTTCAAAATGTGCTTCGCGCCACAACGGCGTGCAATTTTTCATCTCTCATCTGGCCAGCTGGCTCCGCACCCGCCGCTTTAGCGAGCCTACTTTTTGACCCTCCGGAGCCCCAAATCATTGGAAAACACAGTGTTTCGCGACTTTCCTACCTTTTCGCGCATCTGCATCTTCTTTCTTCTGACTCTTTCTCTTCTGATCTTCTCTCTTCTAATCTTTCTCTTCTCTCTGCCTCTGCCCTGCGCTGCTTTTCATCTGTCCATATTGTCGGAAGTTTGACTTCTAAACTTCCTTCGGCTACATACTACATACTACCTACTACCTACTACATACTACATACTACATGCTACATACTACATGCTACATACTCCATACTACATACTACATACTACATACTACACACTACTAATACGTACTACACACTACACACTACATACTACACACTGCACACTGCACACTGCACACTGCACACTGCACACTGCACACTACTTACTACTTACTACTTACTACTTACTACTTACTACTTACTACTAACTACTACTACTACTACTCCTCCTCCTCCTGCTACTACTACTACTACTACGACTACCACTACCACTACCACTACCACTACCACTACCACCACCACCACCACCACTACTACTCCTACTCCTACTCCTACTCCTACTACTCCTACTCCTACTCCTACTCCTACAACTACAACGACAACTACAACAACAACTACTACTACAACAACAACTACAACAACAACAACTACTACTACTACTACTCCAACTACTACATCTACAACTGCAACAACAGCAACAACAGCAACAACACAACTACACCTACAACTACATTTACAACGACAACCACAAGAGCAGCAATAACTACAGTCACAACTAGCACTACACTACACTACACTACACTACAACTCCACATCCAACTCCAGCTACAACTGCAACTACAACTACTACACTGCACGGCAACTACAACTACAACTACCACTGCCACTACCACTACAACTGCAACTACAACTACAACTCTACTACTCTACACTACACTACACTACACTCCACTTCACCGCACTACACTACACTCCACTTCACCACGCTACACTACACTACCACTACACTACAACTACATCAGCTACAACTACAAGTAGTACAGATACAACTACAACATTACCTACAACTGCAACTACATCAACTACAACTACAACTACACTACAACTTGAAGTAAAACTACAACTACATTACACTACACTACGCCACACTACATCCAGCAGTTGTGGGTGAGGTGGCCACTGCAACCACTCAAAAAACACAACTCCAACCAGCTTTCTGTCCATCAGCGGATTCGCTCTGCCATCCATGCATCGCAACAACTCACCTCTCCTATAGATTCCTATCCTTGAAACTTCCGCCTCCGCCTTGTGTGCGACTATTGGCATAATTATCTGCGTTCTCTCGTCGTCGTTGTCATCTGATTTTCCCTAAGCTCGGGTTTTCACCAACATGTTCCATCGTTTTCTTTACCCAAAAAAAATCCTCCATTGCTTTGCTGGCTACATGACATTCAATTGTCCACCCCTGGGTTTCTCAACATCCTGTTGCGTTCTTGGCCTCGTTGTCCAACTGTCGCACAGATCAGGCCCCCCAATGACCTTTTCAACTGCTGGTTTCAACCTCTATAGAGTTCCACCCCTGCTTCGTTCCTCAACAAGAATTTGAGCCCCTCACAAAATTTGTTGTGCTGATATCCCTGGTGATTTGACGACGTGATGAATGTGAGGATGAGGATGAGGCTGGGGATAATGATGATGATGATGATGATGGTGATGGTGATGGTGATGGTGATGATGATGACGGCGACAGCGACAACGACGACGATGATGACGCTGATGATGATGGTGGTGATGATGATGATGATGAAACAGCTGATAGCAACGGTGCCATTGGCGATGACATTGACAGTTTCATTGCGGTGACGTTGGCGATGACATTGAAAATTGTGATGCTTGTGATGAAAGTGATTTTAGAAAGTAATGATTTCGGATTCTGCCGAGGCATGAGAATGATGATACTTGCACGTGGCGATGCCGGAGCAAGATGGTTGAAGTTTGGCTAAAGCATTATGATGCACGACCCTCATGTCAGAAGTGATGATAACGACGACACTTAATCGTAAAAAACAAAAAACATGTGTCTATACGGTGAAAGCAATTTTTTTGACATGTTGGCATGTTGATGACAAGATAAAGAAAGCAGCAGAATCCACTGTAAATTACAGTATATTGTGCACATCTCCGAATCAAACGCCACAGGCCCAATGATTGAAAACCGACTCCCGCAACAGGGCCGCAGCGAGTCCTTGTTTCTACTGTTGTTGCTACTGCTGTTGTTGCTGTTGTTGTCGTTGTTGTAATTGCGGTACCTGCTGTTGCTACTATTGTTGATGATGTTTTCGCTGATGTTGTTGCTAATGTTGCTTTTGATATTGAAGTTGGTGTTGTTGCTAACAGTGTTGTTAATGTTGTTGCTGACATTGATGTTAATGTTGTTGCTAATGTTGTTGCTAATGGTGTTGCTAATGTTGTTGTTAATGTTGTTGTTAGTGTCGTCATTACTTTTGTTGTTGCTATTGTTGTTGCTTCTGGTTCTGATGTTGTTGACTATTGTTGCTGTTGCCGTTGTCGCCGCCGGTGCCTTTGATGATGGCGATGATTCTGAAAACAATGGCGACAAACCCTCTCACAGGTATGGAAATTTTCCACAACTGGAAAGAACAAGTAAGGTAGAGGATCATGATGAAGATAGCGACGGTGGGCAACAATTGCGAGCAAAATCATGGAGGGCAACATCGACGAAGGGGACGACGATGGCTGCTTTGTTTCGTATGAGTTTGACCCAGCTTTAGATTTCTGGTGCTGATAGCATCTTGTGTTTCCGACAGAGAAATCTCGTTGATCATGCCGCCAGTCAAACAAACTCAGCATGAGGATGGATATATGAGCATGATGATGCTGATACATGGAAACGTGAAGGCATGACTGATGCAGTCACGATCTATATGACCATGAAGCGACTCGTAGCCACAAGAAACATGAAAAATAAGTTCGAGTCACATGGCCACAATGTTTGCGTGGTTTACCCATCAAGGCACGAGCCGAAATGCTGGATAATTCGGGCCAGCATGTCATGAATAATTAAGCCACACCATAAACAATCAGCAATGGAAGCCCCGCGCTCCACTCCACGCAAGACATGCAGCGCACGGACTTCTGCGGCTGAAGGATCTGATTTTTGGGGCCGCAGTTTTGATACAAATGTTATATTTGCGAACAGGTTTCAAAAGACCTTTCTACAGGATTCCGAAATCCATTCCCATCATGTCGCCCGCTCCTGCATCTCAAAAAGCCAACGCAACATCTTATTCCAGGGCGCCCCGTCAGTGGAGCAAGCACTCAGCGCCGCACTGCTGCACATGGGATCCTGGCAAAGAAATGAAAGACTGCCACACATAGATCTCCAAAGAATGGTTTTTGGATGGGACATCAGTCCAAACAAGCAAAGCATATATATACCTATATAATTTGCTAAAATTAAACATAAACATAAATATATATATATGTGTGTTTTATATGTATTTAAATGTATATAATTGTATTTAAATGTATTTAAATGTATATTGAAACATGTGGATGTATATGTATATGAATATGAATGAAAAACGCTTGATACATGTAAAAACTATGTGTGCATGTTTGTGTATGTATGTATGTATGTATGTATGTATGTATGTATGTATGTATGTGTGTATGTATGTGTGTATGTGTATGTGTATGTGTATGTGTATATGTGTGTATGTGTGTATGTGTGTATGTGTGTATGTGTGTATGTATGTATGTATGTATGTATGTATGTATGTATGTATGTATGTATGTATGTATGTATGTATGTATGTATGTATGTATGTATGTATGTATCTGTGTGTATGTATGTATCTGTGTGTATGTATGTATCTGTGTGTATGTATGTATCTGTGTGTATGTATGTATCTGTGTGTATGTATGTATCTGTGTGTATGTATGTATCTGTGTGTATGTATGTATCTGTGTGTATGTATGTATCTGTGTGTATGTATGTATCTGTGTGTATGTATGTATGTATGTATGTATGTATGTATGTATGTATGTTTGTTTGTTTGTTTGTATGTATGTATGTATGTATGTATGTATGTGTGTGTGTGTATGTATGTATGTATGTATGTATGTATGTATGTATGTATGTATGTATGTATGTATGTATGTATGTATGTATATATGTATGTATGTGTGTAAGTGTGTATGTAAGGCTATGCATGCATGTGTGTATGTATGTATGTAAATGTATAT